TTGCTACGTCATGTACATGACACACACAGGCATGTTCTGTGTGAACCAGTCTGACACCATGGGTCACAGATTACTAATATTACAAATGTATGTCACCAGCTAATGGAAATCCAATGGACAGGCTGTGTGTGGTAACATGATGCTTAAAGTCATCTTCCACTGTCACATCAGATTTATGGACAAATTTGTTTAGGTGACCTCAGCAATAACTCTTCTGTTTCCATTATCATGGTAATTCACACAAGCTGCCACAAGTCCACAGCCTTTCAGTACTGTGTTGGCTGGTGTTTTGTTTTCAGCCTTCACAACAGGTTATATAAATACACACAGCACAACTCACTGCCAAAGTTTTCAATACGTCGAATCATGGCGGTACTGTGTGCTGCTTATGTCAAAGCATGCAAGTGTTATAGTACTTACATTCACATGCAAGTGTCATAGTACTTACATTCACATGCAAGTGTCATAGTACTTACATTCACATGCAAGTGTCATAGTACTTACATTCACATGCAAGTGTCATAGTACTTACATTCACATGCAAGTGTCATAGTACTTACATTCACATGCAAGTGTCATAGTACTTACATTCACATGCAAGTATTATAGTACTTACTTACATTAACAACATATTTATAGTTTATTTGAAAAAAGGAATATATGTTTCGGGCTTTGCGAGTTAATTATACAAAAAAATAGAATAGTAGTTTGAGTCATAGCTAGGTGGGTCGACCAATGGAGAAAAAAAGGATCTTTCAGTGAGGCTTAAACATCAACTGCCAAAACAGCTATCAGGGGAAGGAGTTAAGAGGCATACTCTAGAGCCTGGATTACTAACTGAGGTGGAATACATGAATGATAATTTCTATATACTGCCCTCTCACTGTGAAGCATATAGAGGTAGCCATGGACAATAGCAGCACAGCATACCAGGGAAATACAGCTTACACAAAGTGAAGCATTGAGATCCACTTGCATACTAGGGTATGTGATCAACACACTGTACATTCAAACTAGGTTAGCATGGATGTTAATATCACACAACATATGTTGCTCTCAAAAGCTGGCCATAGACATCCAGTCTCGATATAACACATCACAGTGAACATTTAGCATCATTAGACTTGTATCTTTGTGAACGTCAGTAATCCTCCTCCAAGTAAACTACACCCTTGTCAATCATTTATATTTGTCCTCAGGAAACTTATCACATCCATTCCAGCTGGTGCCAGCGCCACACGGAGACCGGCCCTGTAGGACGCATGGAATGAATATGGGATGGAAAGTGTCCTGTGTAAACCAGGGCAACACTCATACCACTAGTTACACTTGTCAGTAGCAGATGGTTGATAATAAAAACAGGAATAAAACATGTCATGTCATGATTTCTGCATGCTGCTGTCTGGACTGTAACACATACAAGCTAATGTAACATTATCAGTCTCCGGCTGAGATGGCTTCATGCTCTATACAAGGGTTTCACGGGCGCAAACTCTTTATAATTAACTATCATCTAAGAAATCAACAGTTAAAATTATTTTAGATATTTGTAAATTGTATCTTCTTCTTCTCTTTTTATTTTTATTAATTATTATTATTATTGTTATTCTATAATAGACTCTGGGTTGACAAGTACAATAATATTATTGTTGCACACCATGGGTAATCCTACGGAGACCATAATTATTTCATTCAAATTGTCTACAGAAAGGCTGCAAAATAATATCAACTTACTCAGCCAATAGGTAAGTGAATTGCTCATCTTGACCGATGGACTTGCCAGATCCCCATCATTTCTGGCAGTGTTAATATTAATTACCATTATGGTGTTTTAGTTGGCTATCAGTAGGTAGTTGCACAGTTTTAGGATTAAGCTCTGCAAGAAAGTGTAGAAACAAACTTTTACAATAGGCATATTTTATTTTGTAAAGCAACAAGTTACAGTCAAACCTTGTTGTGTCAACTTAGATGCACATGGAAATCCATGTTGTTTACAAACCAGATGTCGATTTGGTTACGCGATATTGATTGGACTAAGCATAGACTCATTAGTCCAGACAAAACATAACTCCATAATTCCTGCCTAGTTTGGCAAGGATGGAAACTTGACTTTTACAGTCAGTTAACTCCCTTGCCTCGGGAAGATGGTCATCCATCTGCCGAGGGACCTACAAACACAGCACAGTCTTGTCATTGAATAAATTGTTTATTTCTTGTTTCATTCATATTGATTATACATACCTAATCTGAGTTCTTATTGAAATTATGGAATAGATTATAGAAAATACCCATAGTTTTCAAAGCATCATAGCTTTTGTATTTTATTGGAAACAGTGTCTCAAACTCCTGTAGGTTGTTGAATCTTGTTAAATATGGCATTCCTTAATCATGTTAATCATGTTAATGCTTGCTCTCAACTCTCTGTGCAGACACATGACCTGGTGACACTTTGACAATAAATAAGGAAGGACCTGTGGGTCAATGTATTACATTTAATTTCAAAATAGGGTAGGTTGTTGTGCTTTGTTAAAAGTTTACGTTTAATAGGTTTAATTATGTTGCAGTTAACAGTATTTGATATATATTTTCATGTGTGCTTTTTTACTTTGTCATGAAAAGGGGGTACCAGTCAAACCTTAGCAGGGTTCATTACCTTAAATTAGGGTCAGTCAAGTGCTCCCCATCCCCATTCCCATCCTTTAAAATATCTTAGGCCTCTTAATTTATACCATGTTTACATGCTACTTTGCACATAGAAGCAAAAGTAAAAATACTTTGCATCCACATGAAGAAAATGTGCTGTGTGCACAATATATTTGTTGATGTAAGTTTCAGAGTAGTTCAGTCTCTACAAGTCACTCACTCTCTTTGGAAACCAAGATGAACAGGCATTGTGAAGAGAAGACAAGGTATATTTCTCTGGACAGGTTTAGACAGGAGAGAAAAGTGTGGGTTAAACAGAGGTCCTGAACTTGGTGGATGGACATTGTTTTAGGAGTGAGTGAGTATGGTTTGATGCCAGCAATGTCACAGCGGGGGACACTAGAAATGGGCTTCACACATTGTACCCTAGTGGGGAATCGAACCCCTGTTTTCAGCGTGACGAGCAAATGCTTTAACCACTAGGCTACCCACCACCTCTTGTATTAAGGAAAGGGCTCTATTCAATCATCCTACAAGCGGTATGACATCATCACTGGATGGCCAGGAAGAGGACATGACTCCCGCGTCTTTGGAAATTGTTTTGCACTGCTAAGCAAAAGAATTTTGGGTTCACATGTGCACAAAATAATACTATGTAAATATACCGCCAGTGGGAAAAAATGTGAGATCTTCGACTCCGTGTATAAGACGACCCCCCTTCTTAGCCCCCTTATTTTAGGTACGAAAAACTCGCCTTATACACAGCGATATACGGTACTACCATGACCTCTTTAGCATGTTTAGGTCTTGTAAATATGCTCAAGGAGCAATGTTGCATATGAAAGTAAATGCATTCACATGACCCATTTGTACAAAGTGTAAATTTACTCATATGTCAAGCCCCTCGCATGAGTATCCACTGGCATGGGAATGGGGTATTAGTTTAGGCATGGTGCTAAAAATGACTATTTGTTCGGTCTATAAAATTAAATGTACATTTGTACTCAAATAAGCAAACAGCAAAGTTGTATTTGCGCAGAAGAGTAGTTATACAGTCAGCCCCTTCCTCAACCCTCACTCACTGAAGACAGCATCACGATATAACCTTCATCACAAGTGTTTACTTGTGACATTCAACTCATGTCTGACAAAAGTGGAAAATACTTCCCAACACAATTATGTGTAGCTCCAAAACTGCTAATGCAGCATAAAGCAAGATTCACTCACTAACACACTGGTTATTTGCTGGTCATGTGTTATCATTGGTCACTTGTCATCAACTGTTAATAGTTTCCTATTGTTACAAATAACTCTCCATCTGGCTTGCAATCTCATGGGCCACATTTAACAACCTGATCGTAATGCCTCAACCGTCCCAAGTCTATCTTAAATGATAGGAGTTACGATGTTCGGAAACTATGAATGCCTTGTGACTTGGACTTGTAGATGAGAAGGTTGATGTGCTGCTCTCCAAGTGTTTAGTATAGACAGATCAGCATGTCCTCTACAAGCCTGTGTGAGACAGGTGCTGACTGTCTACATGCTTACATTGATTTCCACTGCTGGTTATGACAGGCAGATCCACACAGCAGCATCTTTCTATGGTGTTCAAGGTTCACACACCCTGACAAAGGTTGCATATATAGAAACCTAATGACAGTTTTCACTATCTTGGCTAGAAAAGTTGCCAATATTGGTTTGGTGTTGTGTTCGAAAATCTTTGTTGGAAACTGACAAAAACCTTTCTTATATAGCACAAAAAGACAAGTCTATTGTAATAATTTGCAAAATAAGACTAGACAATTGTGTACTTATGAATAATACTGAGTTCCTGAATTATGAATAAGACTGAGCTCCTACTTCTGGAAAAAAGGGGTTTGACAGGTGTAGGCATGTAGAAAATTGCCCTTCCACACTGAAGAGCAGCGAAAGTCCTGTAAAGTATAGCTGAAGTCATGCCATTCGTCTTCTCCTTTCAGCTGTGGTTATTTTGCTAAGAGATACATGATTTATACAAACATGAACAACAAGAAACTACATGAAAAATATTCATTGCATGACATAAAAATCAAGCCCAAAACTTGATGGTTGTAGTCAATACTTATTGAAGAGTAAACTATTCTAGGTTAGATCTACTACAGAAACAGTTACACTCTTTCCCACACAGAACAGGAATACACAACCTTGCAAAGAAATCCCCAGGATACACAAAACACATTGAACACTGGCGAGTGCATCACTGATATCGCTTAACTATAATTAGCCAGATTACAGCATCATATTGATGTCACGTGTCCAGGCTTCCTCTCCGTGTTTTCTGTGTAGGTGAGGTTCTAATTAAATTCGTGGCCACCTACCTCATAGGCGTCGGGAATGTTGACAACCTCGCCCGTCAAACACACATAGCCGATGATGCCCGTACCCCACGGGATGCGAATCTCGTCCTGTCGCTCACATACTTCCTCGTAAGTGGAGTCGCTACTCACATCAAACAGTTTCGATACTAACCACTTTTCGTTGGTGCCCTTTCCCTGCACCAGAAACAACGAACACCTGTCAGCATTAAGCAAAATGCAGACATTAAGGAGAATCTTATAACACAAACTTGTAACGTCTAAATCATTACAAATGTCAATGACCAGCTCATACATAAGCTCTTTCTCGTCAAGAGCTTTCAGCTCGCTCATAGATTTCCGGGTTTTCCCCTGCCATGACCCCGTGGATGAGGAAGGGCCCAGAAAAGTAGGAGTCCCATCAACAGTCGATATGATCGGCTTCAGGATGCCCCCCTTGTCAAATTCCTGAGCTGAGATTTTTCTCACTGGGGTATTAGCACCTGAACTTGGTTTGGAGTTGGATCCACTGGACGTACTAAGACTGTCCGATTGCAGGTGTAGTCCGCTGTGTGTCATAGCATGAGCAATAAGCCACCCGTCAACCATGCTGCGCTTCGCTTTCCGTGAAAAATAATCATGTACAAACTCAGTGTGCTCGTCCATCCACTTTTCCATACGTTCGTATTCCTCTCTGGTTTCGGGAGACATGCCCCCCTCTGCCTCCCCCTCCCCCGTTGTGGCCATGCTACCACCTCTACTCGCCCCCCGTTTGGTCCATACTACAGAACGCGGAGGGCACACACGACTGGCTGATGGTGTGTTTTCACGGTTTGAATCCAGTTTGGCTTTCTTGCGACTGACAGCTTAGCTGCTACAGTGATGTGTATATTTGAATAGGTAATGAACCAGTCGATTTCAATCGATCGTCAATTACAAATGTTTGTAGTTGCTACATGCACGTCAGTCGACATAACAAACCGTCTTCGACCTGCAAGCGGAAGAGCCAAGCTATTGAAGAGTTGGTGGCAAGGAATGGTAAGTAGCCGTTTCAGACCCCCACCACGCATAGCTAGGAAAGGGAGCCCGCTTGCACCCCTCGTCCACTCAGCGCTGTTTCTTAGCCGATAACCAACGGTACTTCACCGTAATAACAATCCATCTCCCATTGTATGCCTAACGCCACCCACTGAATGGCTTGTGGGCGCGCTAATTAGGAAAATCCAACTTAATAAGCACCAGAACACGAGAGGTGCCCTAGCCCACGTTATCATCTCCCGCGAACAAGGTAAACTTTTTGTCAGTTCTGGCGTGCAGGCCAGCGTTAGCAAAACTTACACATTTTACCTTGATACGACAATTGCGGTTGGTTGGCCTACTTCGCCGACATTCGTAACGAATAACCCCATTGGAAAAGACGCAGTCACATGGTATAAACACTGGTTGCAAGGAAGCTCATGTAGGTTTCACATGGTGATCGCTCGCCTTTGCCGACAGGCTGTGGAAACACAACCCCGCATAACAATCAAGCTGTGGTTCAGCATCGCCACGCTGCATATAACATAACCATCTCGTTTTCATATCCAGTTATAGAGTGTGTTTAAAAGTATGTACTCCGGTACACATCAAATACAGGTGTAAATACAACAGGTGTGAGATCCAGGGGTGTGACAGCAGACTGGAAAGACAACGCGACGGTCGCTCAAACTCAATATGAGGCATTATCACAGACCATGCATATTATATACCGATATATGTTATCTAGCATAATATAGTATTGACATTAAATATGAGAGATATATACTTATATATTAGTTACAATAGTTACGGTCCAGTGCATGGTGTATTTTGTTTAATGGCTTGGATATCAATTGTAACATTTTAGTATCGCCGGCGATATTGACAGTTACCAGTTCAATACGAGTTGTCTCCCGTGATCACACTGAATGACTTCACGTTCAACCAATGCTTTCAAACTCAATCGGGTCACATTGGAATTACTGAATCAAGACGAAACAGTCATTCGATAACCTAAGTGCGTAAAAGAAACGTGTACAAGTGAACCTTAAAACATACCTCTAAATGGAGGAATGTGAAAAGAAATGGTGCACGTGTACCACATGTGCTAAACTCACTAATAGACACACCCTCAGTTTGGATACCCGATATCAAACTGACGTTCATACTAGACTAACGCTTCATTCGTCTTTGAAAATATATAATTTTGATAGAAACAAATAACTCCATTCAAATTAAAAGGGGCCCAAGTGAGACCCTAAGGAAAATCTTGAATTCCTTCATTTGGGGCTTTTGCATAACAGAAAGGGCTGGGCGGAAGTGAAAATAATATGGTTCAGGGACTGAGACATACTGTCTCCACATTGTAGTAAGTAAAGTTTAGCGACTGCGACCTGTAAGATATGACATTGTGTAATTTTGTACCATAGCCTTCTGCCATCTGTATGTTATTAAATTAATCCGATTTCAGAACTCGCCAAAAGTCGAGTTCCAATGAAATATTAAGACAAGCTAATTCAACCAACTGCGAAACTGGCGCCATTGTTTTCAGAGCAGCGTTTCGCCGCCTGTGTATATATGGAAACAGGGCGGTGGGTTTATTTTAGAGGAAATGCAATTTTAGGTGATGGCCACACAATCTGTGACACCATCCAGTACCACTACTTGTCTGTTGGCATCATCCTCGTGTACTTATACCTCATTAATGTAAGGCAAAGTGTTCAACAGTATTAAGGTTACAGTCTCTCACTAAAGACTGCATCGCTGCGTGGTGTCATTACAGACGTCAGAATTACAGAAGTAACAGTTCACAAAACTGGTTTATCTCACATGGCCACTGTCTATATTTACCGGTTCTCTGTTAAGTTATATGCTCCGTCAGTTGGAATGCACTGTGATATTGCATTTAATTATAACACATATATAATCGAGTCTGGACCTGACAAACCAGTAACTGACATGAGTGACGACCCGTGTCTTCGAGGTACGATGAGGCAGTCACCTGGCAAGTCACCGAGCTTGACTACCCGATCCATTTCGTCGCATAGGTTGCTGCACAGAGATCAAAGGTACTACAAAGTTTACATGACGACTCCCCCATACAGCATCACATCATTAAAATTTAAATGTGAAAATTACAGTTGATAACGAAACACTTACAAGAGGATAGCAAACGGCAAGAAGCGATATTTACTCCATGAATGACCATCTGTCAATGTGGAACTAATGTCAATAGGAAGTCATCAGTTTACGACAACGGAGAGATAATTTGCGAGGAAGTAACTCCTGTATGACAAAAGTTCCTTCAAAGTGTTATGTTCACTGCAGTGAAATATCAAGTGTTATGTTCACTGCAGTGAAATATCAAGTGGTATGTTCACTGAAATGAAAATATCTCTTTTCTCAACTTCAGAAAACTCAGTCTTTCTCACGGAAGTACCTAATAACTGCCCTAACGTTTTCTTCTGCCATTTGTATGAAAATATTTTGAAATTAGTGAAACTCGATTCCAGAATGGTTACAAAATAACGATAGACTGTTGAAACATGATCAAGAACAAACGTTGTTTAGCTTAAATATTTATGAAGAAATTATACAAAAAACGTTAGAAACCAGTACCCAATATGGCCGCCACCAGGAGACAAGTTACAACATGTATCATTATATATGTATAAGATAGCTACGCCATAAATTGCAACAATGAAGAACGAAGCGTGGTTTATTTCACGATATTTTTGTGAGGGAAGTGTCTTGTAAGTTGTTCTCCATAGATATAGCTGGGCTACGCAGATGAACGCAGTGACCGAACGATCGCATCCAAAAGTGGGAGAGATATGAACATCGGGATGAGGAGAAAAGGTACAGATGATCGACGGTGAGGATTGTGAGAAAGGGCGGGAAACACCAAACTTAACCCACCTGTTCGTAAAATGGACTTGTCCGACATTTCCGACATCGTCTCCATTCAGGGAGTCATTATTAAAATACAGGTATGAACAGCTGCGCCCATGCAGCTGCACCCCTCATGGTTTATTCGGACCGCCTTCGTGATCTAGTGGTAGAGTGTCCGCCCGGAGAGCGAAAGGTCCGAGGTTCGATCCCCGGCCATGTCATACCCAAAACGTTAAAAGATGGTACTTGTTGTTACCCTGTCTGGCGCTCGGCATTAAGGGGATAAAACAAGGACTGGTCGGCTCGGTCAGTATACTGTGTCTCAGTGGGGTATTCATGTTAAACTGAGGTATGGTATCTCAGTGTGCTAGCACTATAAATAGGCATCAGTCCGGACTAGTACAAGCGGCTACACACACGTGCATGCACTTTGCTAAATGAGTGCAATAATCTTGGACGTGACGTTAAACCCCATTTCACCCCACCTGGTTTGTACTCCCTGCAGTGTTTTATTGTACGATAAACAACGAGTCGTTTTTTCCTTAAATAATATATGTATGCCTCTCTCCCTTCAATCGTGCTGTACTGTATGTGTGTATGTGTAGTTATGTTGCCACGTAAATTAATGTGCAGTATTGTATTGATGAAGTTATAATCAATGTAACTGTCGCGTGACATCACAACTTCATTCCCTTATGGTACGAATAAAAAATGTTGAACATTTTCAGCGTTGTGTTCTTTACACATTTGAAATATATCGGGCTGTACACTCGAATTTCAATTTTATATGTTTGTTTGTTGTTTAACGCTGCACTCAGTAATATTCCACCTATATGACGGCGGTCTGTAAATAATCAAGCGTGGACCCGACAATCCATTGATTGACATCTTGAGCGTCGATCCACACAATTGGGATACGATGACATGCATCAACCAAGTATGTATGTATGTTTCATTCATTGAGAGAACTTGGTTGTGAACAACTCATTGCGATAGCAAACATACACTTTACATTGAGTTGTATTTACAACATTAATCACATGGATCTCTACAATAAATCATAATTTAATTGGTTGGTTACATATCGTACCTGGGTATCAATTATATTGAATTGTCTTTTGCCAACTGAAAGGTATTTTTCGAGCAATCGAATTTTCTTTCTTTCTGAACGTTGTTAAAGCTGTAGCCTAACTGCATGTATAGTGGAATATTATTCCTCATTCTTATTGATGAAGGAAAAAATGATTCATGAAAAATTTAATGTTTTACCTTGTAACGGAAGTTGAATGTTATCAGCGTTTCGAAGAGAATACATGTTCTTTGAAACTCGTGTGAGAATTCATGCATTACACTCGCTCTCGCTCGGGAAATACACGAATTCTGACACTCGTTTCGTAAAATCAGTATGACACACATGAAAGTGTAATAATCTCCAGTTATTACAAGCGCTCTCGCTCGGGAAATACAAGAATTCTGACACTCGTTTCGTAAAATCAGTATGACACACATGCTAGTAGTGCAATCTCTATTTGCTACACTCGCTCTCGCTCGGGAAATACAAGAATTCTGACACTCGTTCTGTAAAATCGGTATGACCTACATGCTAGTGTAATAATCTCTATTTATGACACTTGCTCTCGCTTGGGAAATACATGAATTCTGACACTCGTTTCGTAAAATCAGTATGACACACATGCTAGTATAAAAATCTCTAGTCATTACACTCGCTCTCGCTTGAAAAATACAAGAATTCTGACACTCGTTTCGTAAAATGAGTATGACACACATGCTAGT